TATATATATATATATATATATATACATATATATACATATATACATACATATAGACATACATATACACACACACACACACACACACACACACACACATATATATACATACATATATATATATGCATCCATGCATGCATATATATATATATATATATATATATATATATATATATATATATATATATATATATATATATATATATATGGACCAAAAGTACCAGTGTGAAATATCTTTGTGTTCTGTAGATGAACAAAGGGATGAGCATGAGAGTGACTAATTAATAACAGAATTTAAATTGAGTGAACTAACCCTTTAAACTGTACTTTTCTAGTTAAACTTTACCAAATCGTTGGGTTTTGGCGGACGGCACTTTACGTATTTTTCTTTTGATCAGGATGTTGATGTGAGAGAAGATGATAAACGGTGGAGCGAGCGTTGGACGTGAATGATACTCCACTATCAGATTATACCGCTGAAACTTCCAGTATTTGTCGCTGTGCTCCTGAACCTTAGTAAACGTATAGCTGCAGAAAAACACAAAGCAACACACAGATGATTTGACAGTCACATATAAAAAATGGATGTACAGATATATAAATACCTGAATGTGGCGATGAGCAGGTTAATAAGTAAAATGTTGGTGACTAGTAAGAAGATGACCAACAAAACGACCACAAGCCAGTTGTGGCTGGTGTCCCTGCACGGCTCTATCCCTTCATTAATCAACGTCAGATTATCTGTGCAGTCTCTTTCCCAGTGTTTGCCAGCTTAACAGACACAGATATGATAGAGTCAGTGGATGGATGCTAACTAAAAGCAGCAATAAGTGGAATCAGAAGTGAACATACTGTCTATTTCTTCCACAGGGATGTCTCCGAATATGTGCAGATATGGCCTGTACAACACTCGCCGAAACACTCTTGCAGGGCTCGCATCGTACTGGTATAGTAGAGCTTGATTGGCTACTCCATATGCAATTAACCACACCAGCAGGAAGAACAGGAAGAAGAACGCATCCTTGATCTGTAATTCAAGAACAAAACACAAACACATGAGTGAGATTTGACTTAGCTGATGTAATGTAACTACAAAATTGGCTGGAACTATCAAATGCTGAAATGTGCAGTGGGTTACAGTCCAGTTACAGACTTCCAAACTATCCACTTAATGCAATGTACACCCTTTCTTATAGTATTTGCATGGATTGTGCAAAAATACATGGCTTACCAGTTTATCTGGCAGGAAGGCTTTTTAAAAGCATGTAGTGGATCTAACTTTATCCCCTGTGTGACTATCACAGGATTGTCGCCCATAAACGGCTTGATTTTATGGCAGTGGACCACATGCATACTGATTCAGGATGTTGAACAACACTCTGTTTGTCTCACCATTTTGCCGAGTATGATGATTTTGGGACCCAGCTCTTTGTGAATGGCAAAAATGTGAATGAGTCTGAGAGTGAAGACCATGTAGTCCACACACAGTATACCACGACCCATGTTGAATGACCAGCTGAACATCCTGAAGCAGAAACAAAGATATACAGGCACAGATGATAAAGTTTGCAAGCACACTGCTAAAGCTTAATGAATATTTAGGAAACCATAACCACCTAGTTAATAGACAAAACGTGTATTAAATAATGTTTTTGAATTATTAAGTGGAAAATATACTTCGTTCAATAGGCAGTGCAGAGTCCGAACACAGTCATTCTTTCATTTTACAACTAGGTACAGCAAAAAATACAGTGCACACAGAAAGTATTCATAGTGCTTCACTTTTTTCACATTAAGTTAAAGTCTTATTCCAAAATGGATTAAATAAATTGATTTCCTCAAAATTCTGCACACAACCCCCCCATAATGACAATGTGAAAAAACAGTTTTTAAAAAAGCAGCAAATTTATTAATAATAAACACCAGAAAAATCACATGTACATCAGTATTCACAGCCTTTGCTCAATACTATGTTGATGCACCTTTGGCAGCAATTACAGCTTCAAGTCTTTTTGAATATGATGCCACAAGCTTGGCACGCCTGTCTTTGGGAATTTTTGCCCAATCCTCTTTGCAGTACTTCTCAAGCTCTATCAGCTTGGATGGGAAGCGACGGTGTACAGCCATTTTCAGATCTCTCCAGAGATGTTCAATAGGATTTAGGTCTGGGCTCTGGCTGGGGCACTCAAGCACATTCACAGAGTTGTTGTGAAGCCACTCCATTGATGTTTTGGCGGTGTGCTTTGGGTCATTGTCCTGCTGGAAGATGAACCGTCGCCCCAGTCTGAGGTCAAGAGCACTCTGAAGCAGGTTTTCATTCAGGATGTCTCTGTACATTGCTGCATTCATCTTTCCCCCTATCCTGACTAGTCTTCCAGTTGCCATGATGGTGCCACCCCCATGCTTCACTGTAGGGATGGTGTTAGCCTGGTGATGAGTGGTGCCTGGATTTCTCCAAACGTAACGCCTGGCATTCACTCCAAAGAGTTCAATTTTAGTCTTATCAGACCAGAGAATTTAGTTTCTTATGGTCTGAGAGTCCTTCAGATGCCTTTTGGCAAATTCCAGGCGGAGAGTGGCTTCCGTCTGGCCACTCGACCATACAGGCCTGATTGGTGGATTGCTGATTGTCCGTCTGTAAGGTTCTTCTCTCTCCACAGAAGAACGCTGGAGCTCAGACAGAGTGACCATCAGGTTATTGATCACCTCCCTGACTAAAGCCCTTCTCCCCCGATCACTCAGCTTAGATAGCCGGCCAGCTCTAGGAGAAGTCCTGGAGGTACATCTTCCACTTACGAATGATGGAGGCCACTGTGCCCATTGGAACTCTCAGAGCAGCAGAAATGTTTCTGTAACCTTCCTCAGCCTTTTGCCTCGAGACAATCCTGTTTCAGAGGGTCTACAGACAATTCCTTTGTCTTCATGATTGGTTTGTGCTTTGACATGCACTATCAACCCTGGGACCTTATATAGACAGGTGTATGCCTTTTCAAATCATGCCCAATCAAATTAATTTACCACATCCCCTCTCCACCATCAGCTGGTGTGCATTTATTAACAGCACAATGCATGTATTAAACCTTCAATCTACTGTTATGTTATTCTTTAGACCTCTTATTCTATATTTATGATAGTAAACCATCAAGGCCGTGTTTACCTGCAGCACAAGCCAGCAATAAAAAGGCAAATGGCAAGAACATCAAACTTATTCCACATATCCTGAGCATACACGATCAACGTCTGAGGAAACTTCTTATTGCCTGCAATGGACGCCTGGAGGAGAAAGAATAAATACATGGAATTACCATCAGACTCATTTTAAAAGAACATGAGTCAGTAAAAAAAAAGAGCATCTACCATACCTCTTGAATCTCCTCACACACTAAAGTGAAGACCCAGAAATACAGCACATACTCCGAAACCGCAGGGCCATCAGGGGGAGGCGGCTTGAAGTCCACCAATAGCACGTAGGCATACAGAAACAGGAAGAGGAAGTACATCAGAAGGTTGCCGATGAATGAGGTGACAGGAGCGTACCAGAACTGCTTCCAGCGGGAGACCACAAAGCTACTCTTCTTTGGTTTGATGAATGCAGGAGCTCCTGATGACAGAAAGACGTACAATTTCAGCCGTTCTGCTCCAAATCAACAGAGCATTAATCAACTACTTTTATTAAATGCTTCAGGAAAAGCTTCAAAATCAGCAGTCAAACCTTTAGTAGTCAGCCTGATATGATTTGAGTCTTCATTCTCGCCTTCACTGCTAAAGATCAGAAAGATTGTAGATAAAGGAATTTTGCTGACAGACATATGCATGCATGATGTACTGAATAAAAGCTGATGTACTGGTGTTTGATGTCACTAAAGGAGTAGACGGTCTTTCCGTAATGGAAGTCTGTCGGTGAAGATGGAGGTGCCGTCGCCGATTTCTCTTCTTCTGCTTGATCTGCTTTTCTAGGAAGAACAAAATAAAAAAAGAACAATGGATCGATTAATTGTACGAGTGATTCAGTTTGACGGTTATATGTGCATTTGCTCTGTGTATTTGAGGAAACAAGTGCACTTGTGTAATCTCTGATATTATTGGTATATATTATTAGTAGCTGGCTTAAAAATGAATGCACAACAATCTGTTCTCCTTCATGTGGGAGGCAGAAACAAACTACCTCTTCAGATTTAAAGGGCTAGCATAGCACCAGACCCCCTTAAGTGGTGTCGTTTGAAAGTGTAGAATCTATATTATATGCACATATGCATCACTTTGTTTTTTATTCTACTGTACAAAAGTTATTTACACTTAACCACACAGTACTTTGGATACCCGAGCTAGATATTTTACATCGGTTCATTTCCATATTTTCAATATGACACATGTACAAGTTATAGCTCAAATGAAAGCTCTTGCCGGTGCTCATACGGTTCTAGCATTCTTTTTACTGAATTATATTCACATATCAAACTGTTGCCGAATGAATCGCGGTGATTCCATGGCACAGAAGTGAAAACAATACATTTATGATCAATAAGCAGCCCCAGATAGCACAGACAGCTGTCGTCTCTTATGCTTTGTGCTTGAGGGCGATTTCTCCTCTGTTTTTGAGGTGATGTGCATAAGTAATCCTATATGTCTGACGTGGTCCAAACACAGTGAATTATGTTTGATCAAAAATATGAAAACAATGATCGATCCCTTTGGCTTGTATAGCACCTCTCATCAAATGTAGAGACATTTTTCTTTTTTCCTATGATTACAGACATGTGCAGGAACCACCAAAATTAATTACAGCACGCTAGACCACACAGAACCTGAAAGGTACACTTTCAAATTTGAGTTTATAAAAAAAAAAATACAAAAAGCGCCTCTTTTTAGGTGTTTATTATAACACAGACAACATATACAGATGTTTTAAACACGTTCAATAGTGTTTTGTGAAAATTCAAAGGCTTTTCTTTAAAATGATACCAAATTGCATTTACACTTCTGCATGTGGGTTTGGGAAGCTTTTAAATTTGGGTATGCAAAATCCAGGCGGAAATCCTAAAATAACAGCAGAGTTTAACTGGTTAGACAGATCACACAGGTATCCGGCTTTTATGACCAGTGTTTAAAGGTGCAGTATGCAAGTTTAACACCCATTGGTTCAACTAGGTATTGCATTCTTGGATCAACAAATACTCCTGTTGGTCCTCAATCTGTCAACTTGCAAACCTGACGATCGAGCCTAAAAGCTTTAAAGAGCCCCTATTATGAGTTACGAAACTTAAGCGCCGCCCAATAATTGTGTGTGCAAACTTTGGAAAATTGAAACCCCAGACCCCACCCACAGTAGCACAGAAAACGAGGAAGCTTAACCAAGCAGATCCCTGCTGAATCATGTCGTGCAGTCGCTGTGCTAAGCTGAATATTATTGAAAGTTTGAGGGGAAAGTTGCCACCGTTAGCTGATCCTACACACGTGTGGCGGTCAAGTTTCAAAATAGTTCAGCTTTGGCTGATGTGTGGATTAATACTGCTAAAAATGGAGGAATATGCTGCTGTTTAACTGCACTGCTTTAATGCACTCCTGCATTTGGCTCACACACATGCCTGCCAACTTTTGTCCCCGAAAATCAGGGAGACCGGGAGGTTAGGTTCGCGGATGAGGTGTCTGAATAACATTGTTGAGAACCGGGTACTGTGTACTGTGGTGTTAGTAACTACTATGAAGCGTATATCGGGCAACCACAGGATTGATAAATAAATTAAACTGTTTGAAAGTGAACTTTAGAACTGTGAAATAATGCAAACCAACACACATCAGTGATTCAGCATGTGCATTTAATAATGTTAAAGAGGTTTAATATTTATTAATTAGACTATAAAGCTTACCATTTTGTGAGTGTGTGTTTAATCTGTGCTTCTGAATGGCTGTATTTGAATTTCTGTTGTGTTTCATCTGGTGCAAACAGCCAAATTGCTCAGTGTATATCTTGTCACGTGTTTTTAGGACATGCGGTTGCAATGTAACCTCCTCACCTAATGTTTATGCTCGTAATAATGCTAAGTAATAACCACCTCATGTGGAACTCTGAGAATCTGCGTCTCATTTTGGAATCTGCTACTGTGTTTTAGTCACGGATTAATGCTTGCAGGATCTTCTGGTTCATGTATATTAGATCACATATTCACTAGTTTACTCATTGTTTTTCTTTAACAATATATAAAATCATAATGACCATCATTATTTGACTATACACTCCTATAAAGTCAACTATCATACTATAAGGTATAGACAACTACATCTTGCAGGGTGAATTAAATTTTGGGGTGAACTTGGGTAAACACATACAGTGCTCAGCATAATTGAGTACACCCATTTTGAAAAACAATATATTTTTATTCATTACTCAGTGAATATAGGCACTGTATTTTGGTGCATTTCAAGAAAACAGATTTATTAAAGAGATATATTTATTAAAATGATATTTTAGTCACCAAACATAATTAGAGATTGAAAAATACTATTAAATTTAAGCAAAAAAAAAAAAAAAAAAAAAAAACATCCTACAAATTTTTGACTAAATTTTCCCCATTTTCTTTGCTTTTCTTGATTTTTCCTCTTTTTAAAATTTGCATTTAATATTTTTTATGACATATAAATTTAGCTGTACTAGTTTTTGGACCTTTCTCGTAAATTTTGTTGGATCAGCTCCAGATTTGGCTTCAGTGCTGACTAATCTGATGTATATAAACAAATATAATATTGACTAGCTTCATATTAAGAATATGAAATGTAAAAGAGAGATTTGTGAGGGGTGTACTAATATATGCTGAGCACTGTATGCAATTTTGTGAAAGGAAGTAAAAAAAAAAAAAAATGCTACTGTACCTGAATTCAATGAAGTTGCTGTAGCAGACAGGAGGACAGATCATCACCAGCAGCACTTTCCAAAGCGCAGTATCTCTCTCTATATCTCCCCACCAGATCTGAGACAGCAGAGACTGAACAAAAAAAAAGACTGTTAACAAAAAATCTCATTTCAAAATAAAAGGCAACTATTAAAGTGTTAGTTCACACAAAAATGAAAATTCTGTTATTATTTGCGGCCCTTACATCATTGCAATACCTCAAGACCTTTATTCATCTTCAGATCTCAAATTAAGATACTTTAGATAAAAATCAGAGAGCTCCCTCATCCTGCATAGACAGCAGTTATCCTGAGAAAGTCCAGAAAAGGACCAAAAACATTGTCAAAACGTTGTGTGACTACAGGGGCTCAACTGGTTTCATACAAAGCTGGAAGGAGAGTTTGTTAAGGATGTAACAATTCACAGAGAGCCAGATAAAAATCGATTCAAATATGTGGCGATTCAAATCGGTAGAAATGTTGAACGAATTGCGATACATTTATTGAACAGAGGGGGCGCTGTGTTTACAGGCACAAAATCGCTTTAGTTGCACATCAGTGGCGAGTAAGAAGCATACCCGTCAACCCTCCTGTTTTTCTGGTGATTCTCCTGTATTTCACAGTTCTATCCCACTATTATCTAATAAAAGTATTCTCCAATATTTCCCCCGTATTATTAGTCTTTCTCTGAAGGGTGGCAATAATCATTAAAGAGCCGATCCTCCAAACCCATACTGCCGAATCACCAGGGGCCGCCCCTTGCTTTTAACTGTGAATCCCTTCTGTGCTTTTGCTTTATTTAGGCATGAAAACACTTTGAAATAAATATAAAAACGGCAGGATTCTCTTCCTTTTCTTTACAGGTGCCGTCTCCCCTTCATATGCAATCCTCAAAACAGTTATATAGCAGTGCGTGACTGTCAGCTGACCCGCTTCATAGTGATAAACAAACGCTGTTTCCCAAACAGACTCTGCACACATGATTTGAAGCGGAGCGAAAGTCTGGCTTTTGGATGCGTGTTGGAAGGTGTAGATCTTGGTGTTTTTTTGTTTTTTTTTTCCAAACAACTAATTTTGTCATAGGAGCATAAAAAGTTTTAAAAGGAAAGCAATCAAATGCTTTCGTTATAACGTTAGATGTGTGCATTTTTTGATGCACATAAACCATCATCACAGTGAAAATCGACGGTTACAAACGTCTATACACAAGAAAAAAACATTAATGAGCCAAAGCACATGGACCGGATGATTTGCAGCTACGAATGCTTCGGAGATCAGTGCATCAGTGTTTTCATGGCGAAAGTTTGAAGATGTGGGCGAAGCAGTGGCACAGTAGGTAGTGCTGTCGCCTCACAGCAAGAAGTTTGCTGGGTCACTGGTTTGATCCTCAGCTCAGTTGGCGTTTGAGTGGAGTGTGCATGTTCTCTCTGTGTTCGCATGGGTTTCTTCCGGGTGCTCCTGTTTCCCATACAGTCCAAAGACATGCAGTACAGGTGAATTTGGTAGGCTAAATTGTCTGTAGTGAATGTGTGTGTGTGTGTGTGTGGATGTTTCCCAGAGATGGGTTGCGGCTGGTAGGGCATCCGCTCCGTAAAAATGTGCTGAATAAGTTGGCGGTTCACTCCGCTGTGGTGACCCCAGATTAATAAAGGGACTAAGCCGACAAGAAAATGAATGAATGAAGTGTGAAGATGTATTTCCCACTGAAAGGGAAAGTTGGTAATAACACTGATGTCATGTTGTTAACAAATATGCATGTTGAACACTACTGAGTGTTATGTTTTCACAAAAAGTTCTATGATTAAAGCAAAAAAAAAAAACATCCTGAGGTGACACCCAATAATCTAGCTGGATAGATGCTCACTGATGGCCTGATGCTGCCCACCAACTGGATGTGTTCTGGAATTAGGAGTCAGCGGTGCAACATAAAAGCATATTTCCCATAATAAATGTGCCCATAAACATCAGGCAAACAAAGTCATTTCTGCTAGGTTTTTTTTTTTGCCTTACAGAAGTGATCTTGTAACTCTTCCAGACATCTTTGCACCATTGCAGTCTGAGAATAAACAATCTAAAATAACTTAATTTGTGTCCTGTAGATGAATGAAGGTCTTTGGGGATTAGAAACATTGAAGGGTGAATACTAATAACAACTGAATTGTCATTTCTGGGTGATCTAATTCTTAAACAATGGCTCGTGTGCTGCCAGACCTGCACTCCATCATGGCTGAAAAAGATCCGGGCATCCGCAGCTATGGCCATCTCCAGACAGGTGGCGTCACCCCACAGCTTTGACTTACGGATCAACAGCTTGTAGGAATGACTTGCTTTGGTTTGGTAGCATGTGCCAAACACATCTGTGAAGTAGAGAGTAAAAACAGCTTAATTGTTTTTCCTACTGGTTTTATAAGATCACAAAGAAGACCAAACACACATCCTACCATGAGCCATCTGCTCAAACTTCAGCGCCAGCTCCTTCATGGAGTGCTTCACCTTGGTCTCGATCTCCTGTTTAGAGAGCTCCACTAACAGCTTACATCCACCCAGAGCTGTCAGAACCGACTCGCCACACTGAGACAGAAGAGCGAGAGTGATGAATGTGAAGCTGCACCATTAGTTTAGTGTCAGAACAGATGATCTGAATATATGAAAAAATACTCAATAATAAAAGTATGAGCAACTTTGGTCTTAAAGGGACACTGTCCTGCAGAGTTTAGCTCCAACTCTATTCAAATACACCTGTCTGTAGTTTATAGCGATCTTGAATGCAGTATCAGCCTCTATACACTTATTCACTATTCTCTACATAAGCCCGCTAATATACTGTAGTCAAATTGTAGTGAATGAAAATAAGTGAATGTGAACACCAAGTTTACTGAAGAGAAACATCTAGGATCTGTGATGGATTAGTAATGAAACTAAGTATTTTGATTTCTGTTGTGTATACAAGTGTTACTTAGGTAATTCGTTTATTTTCTTTTCAGCTTAATTCCTTTATTAATCAGAAGTCACCACAGCGGAAGCACCCAGAGATATCATAATTGTTTTGCAATATCGCCCAGCCCTAACTACAGATAAAGCCCAAGACATAGATTGATGCGCTCAAGTGTGTTTGATTAGAGTTTGAGCAAAACTGTGAAAAAATAAATAAATAAATAAAAAAAGAGCCCATTCTAGGCAGATCTTAAAATAAAATATTCTTGCCTCATGAAGCTGCCTCAAAACCAGGGTAGAAGATACTTTATATTATTATAATGTCATCAGACAACAAAATAAAATCATTTTTAAAAGCCCAGTGACCAATTAATATATATTCAGTAAAGTTTTGATAACATTTCTTACAACATCCCAAATGAAAATTTTGCCATTTAAAGCCTCAATTTGGGTCTTTGTTTAAGTACATTGTATGGAGGAAAATGTTTTCCCCAGAAAAATTCACTTACTAAAACTGAAGATTGGGAACATACTAGGGATGCAACCATACAGTTAGCCCATGGTTCAACACATACCTCAGTTTTATAACACTTTTCTGTTCGGTTCCGTTCTCATGGCTTGACATGTTAGTTTTTTTTTTATTCTATAGACAATAGGAACCAATAGTGTCTTCATGCAGCCTTTATGATGCAAGCTGAGATTGCATCACTCAGCGCTGTGACAGTTTTTAAACGCTTTTCGGTTCGGTTCTCATGGCTTGACACGTGTTTTTTTTTTTTTTTCTATAGGCAATAGGAACCAATAGTATCTTCATGCAGCCTTTATGATGCAAGCTGAAATTGCATCACTTAGCACTGTGACGAATAGGGTTTAGGGGTGGGGTTAGGTGAGCGTTTTAAAAAGCATTGGATGCAGCTCAGATTGCACGGCACCAAGTCTGCAGCCACACCCCTCTCATAAGAACAATAAGAGGTTAAGGAGAAAAAAAAAAAGATTTATTGCAAAACTAATTTTGTTTTACTTAAAAGCCAAGAAAAGTACACTAGTTCCTAGGGTATTGAATAAAAAAAATGAACACTGAAATCTCAGTTGCTGGTAGCCCATGTACAAACTGGGGAACAAATAAAATCGTACACTTTGAAAATAAACACACATGTGAAGTTAAAGATAAATTGGCCATTTCAAATAAACATATTTGTGCTTCAGTAAACATAAATAAACCATCTTAATTATCTTGGTGCTAAAAAAATGCGAGACTGTAGTCTGGAACGCGGATCGAGTGCTTTTATAAGATGACAAAAGCCCACATCTCCAATCACCGAAAACGGCTGCAAATCTTCAGCAATAAACACCCGCACTGCCTTTGTTATTTTTATGTGTCTCTCAGAACCAGATGGGTAGATTCAGCGAGGGATTGTTGCTATTTGGAGGACTTCATTACCTTCTCTGCTATCCTGCCTTCAGACAGTGATATTGCTGGGTGATGGCGCTGCAGATGTGCAGTCTTGGTTATACGTATAAAACAATGCTTGCACACAGTTATTTTTTGTTCACCGTTTTTCTTTTATCCGCAATATACTTACCGACAAAACTGAAATGTCATCACCTCGCAGATTAGAAAGATGCCGGCGCTTTCTTGTACTTTTGCCTCACTTCGCTGGCGCTTCCTTGTACTGTTGCCTTACCTCACCGCCGATTGCAATGTTAAAGTGCAGATTGATGGTCAAGCGCCCCCTAACTATAGAGCATAGTGCTTGGATATTTACTCGCGGGGAGGAGTTTCCTCATCTCAGCTCATGAACTTACAGGCACACAGTCAATTAAGGGAGATATAAAACCCACATAAATTATTTAACCACTTAAACTCTGCTGCTATTTGGGGATTTCCGCCTGGATTTTGCCTACCCAAATTTAAAAGCTTCCCAAATCCACATACAGAGGTGTAAATGCAAAAATTTGGTATCATTTTAAAGAAAAGCCTTTGAATTTTCATAAAACAGTGTTTAACATATCTGTATATGTTGTCTGTGTTATAATAAACACCTAAAAAAGAGGCGCTTTTTGTATTTTTTTTTTTTTATGAACTCAAATTTGAAAGTGTACCTTTCAGGTTCTGTTTGGTCTAGCGTGCTGTAATTAATTTTGGTGGTTCCTGCACATGTCTTTAATCATAGGAAAAAAAGAAAAATGTCTCCACCATAATCTATGCTAAAGTTATTGCATTCCAACTGATGAGAGGTGCTGTACAAGCCACAGGGGTCGATCATTGTTTTCATATTTCACTATTCTTTTGTTTGATCAAACATAATTGACTGTGTTTGGACCACATCAGACATATAAAAGGATTACTTATGCACATCACCTCAAAAACAGAGGAGAATGGCCCTGAAGGGCACATTATAAGGTGAGAGATGACATCTGTCTGTGCTATCTGGGGCTGCTTATTGATCCAGAATGTATTTTTTATATTTCTGCGCCATGGAAACACCACAATTCATTCAACAACTGTTTGGCATATGAATATAATTCAGTAAAAATAATGCTAGAACTGTATGAGCACCGGCAAGAGCTTTCATTTGAGCTATAACTTGTACATGTGTCATATGGAAAATATGAAAATGAACCAATGTAAAATACCTAGCTCGGGTATCCAAAATACTGTGTATTTTAAGTGTAAATAACTTTTATACAGTAGAATAAAAACCAAAGTGATGCATATGTGCATAAAATATAGATTCTACACTTTCAAACCAAACCACTTACGGGGGTCTGGTGCAACGCTAGCCCTTTAAATCTGAAAGCGAAAGTCGATGATGTCACGGACCTGGTACCGGGTCCGCAGAGTTTAAGTGGTTAAACGCAAAACCGAGAAAACCGCAATTCACAAGCACAAATTGAACCGTGGAGGTCGTACCATACGGTTCAATTTTATATTGAGAACCCTGGCATCCCCAGAACATACTGTAACTTTATAAGATCAAATAAACTAATTTTATAACAATATAGGCTCAAGATTTTTTGGTTTCATTCAATTCAATTGGTTTTTAACCATTACAAATAGCTCACTATGATGCTTGTACTTTCTTATTATATTATTTTTATGTATTGTCATAAAAATAAATGTTTGTACAGCAAGAAGTTGGACCTTTTACTGCCATTTATTATTCCTAATCATTTCCCCATAGACAAATGAATTGGAAGTTCTAAAACAATCACTGAAGAGAGCTTACTTCCACATTGGAGATTAAGGTCAATAGAGGATATACAGCATGTCTTAAATGTACTTGTTATGCAGATGTCAAAATAAACTAAATCTCAAGCATGCCTCAGGAACACACAGTATTACCATTTCCCAGCAGAAGATGGCCATCTCACTGCGGTTCTGCAGCACTGCCCAGATAAAGAGGGACAACCATGGGTGCTCACACATCTCATCCTGATATTTGCATTTCCCCTTCAGGACCTTGCATGCTTTCTGTGTGGTAAAACAATCACATTTCATTTTTAAAGAGAGTGTGAAAAAAAGTGTGTGTTTTTAGACTACACAGATTTTAAAATGGGGTCTGGTACCTTTATGTCTTTTCTTCTAGTCGATCCTGCGTACAACGAGAGTTCAGACAAGTAGAAAGGATGACAGACATCACCGAGCAGATCTTCCAGCAGCCGAGACACCTGCAATCACAGATCCGGCACATTTACAACTGCATATATTCACAGGTTAGGCACTTTAGGATGCACATGGTGAGGATATTTAATGCACAAAACCAATTCTCTGCAATTGCGATCCAAAAACAGCACCCGCTAAAGTAGTTCAATAATTAAAAACAACTAGAGATTGTAAACTTTGGCGATACATGCTACTGTACATACAGTCATGCTTAAATAAATAAATAAATAAATAAACACACATGCCAATCTGTTACACTGCTGTTTGTGACTGTTTGATGCCATATTGTGGCTAAATAATCAAATAAAAAGAGATTGAAGAAAATAATTTAGGAACAAAATAAAAGATTAGTGTGGGCAGCATCCAGACATCCAGGAATTAAATTCATTCTGTGAGCTTTACACTTAATTTAGTTAGTAAAGTATTACATCTCAGATCAATTTGTTTGAGTGCATTTTAGTTTTGTCACAATAAGCCATGTAATAAGCAGAATAATGTACATCCTGCCAGTTGTTATTGTAATTTATTACAGTTCAAGTCAATTGCATTCCAAGGTATGTTATTCCCACATAACACCTGCTGAAACTAATAATGAACGCTCATCTGGTTACCACAAATCATTCTGATTGTCAGTGAACACATTCACATCCATATTTTTATGCGTGCCTGTCCCTTCCGCTGTTTGGCACCATCTTTTAGGTTAGTGTATGCTCCGTTCAGCCATTTTTTGTTTTGTGTTTAGCTTAAGAATTAAACTATTATGGCTTAGTGTTTGTGTTTCATTCTGACATTTTGTGGCTGTGTAACAAAGGGGATAAAGTACCTCTAGGTAGTTGTTTTTGCAGAAAAAACACTTCAGGCCTCCACATCAAGTGGGGCTACTGATAAGGGGCAATATCTTTTATGCCTACTTAATCCCTGATTTAAAGCCCTTATGTATCCATATTTACACAGTTAAAGTCAGAATTGTTAGCCCACCTTTGAATTTTTTTTTTTCGTTTTTACATATTTCGCAAATGATGTTTAACAGAGCAAGGAAATTTTCACAGTTTGTCTGATAATATTTTTTCTTCTGGAAAAAGTCTTTTGTTTTATTTTGGCTAGAATAAAAGCAGTTTTTATTTTTTAAACACCACTTTAAAATAAAAAATATCAGCCCCTTTAAGCTAGATTTATTTTTGATTGTCTACAGAACAAACCATCGCTATACAATAACTTGCCTAATTACCCTAACCTGCCTAGTTAACCTAATTAACCTAGTTAAGCCTTTAAATGTCACTTTAAGCTGTATAGAAGTGTCTTGAAAAATATCTAGTCTAATATTATTTACTGTCATTATGACAAAAATAAAATAAATCAGTTATTAGAAATTAGATATTAAAAAGATTATGATTAGAAATGTGTTGGAAAAATCTCTGTTAAACAGAAATTGGGGAAAAAATAAACAGGGGGGCGAATAATTCTGACTTTAACTGTATATAGTTTTGGTGCACTTTTCATTACAATAAACCTCTTCTGTCCGTTAAGGTCTTAAATGTTATCTTTGTAAACTATTTTCCATCTGTTTTCAAGTATCAAGAGTCTTTTTTTTTTAATACAATGTGAAACTTTCTATTTTGCGTTTATTCAGGTCTAACTCTTATTGGAACTGGGTTTCATCAATTAATGTGTGTACTGAATTTGGCTCTCCAGTAGTACTCTGACACATTCTGTGGATCTGTAAGCATCATTAATAAGGGGTATACTTAATTCAAAGGTATAGTTCTCCTTAAAATGAAAATGTTCTCACCAACTTACTCTCAATATGTTCCAAACATATAAGAGCTTTGTTCTTCTACTGAGCAAAAGATATTTTAAAGAATATCACAGTATAATAAACCAGTAACCACTGCCATCCATAGGAAGAAAAACGAATGCTTTGAAAGTCAATATCAACATTCTTCAAAATATCTTCTTTTGCTTTCAACATAAAAGTAAATTGTTTTTCCTAGGTGAACTCAACATTTTTTTTTTGCACCAAGTACAAAAGCGGTGGGCAATTGTGCGCTGGTCAGTCCATCTGTTACAGTATATGTGCATTTGAGATCTGACCTCATAAAGGCTGATGCTGTAGATCTGCTCGTTGGACTCGTGCATGCGCTCGTCCAGATGGTGGAGCAGGAGTGTTTTGGCCAGGCAGGTGTCAGAGATGGAGTTGTACAGTTTCTCCAGTCGGCCGTAAGTCAAGTAGCTCAGAATGTTCAGACCGTTATCGATGAGGAGACGCACAAACTGGGGTTTGTTGTTCTCCAGAGCGTCAGTCATGGAATCCACCAGCTCCTCATACTGTGTGTGTCAGGTTAGAGATAACAGGTTATCAACACATGCTAGAACTGTTTCACTAACTCATTCACTCTTTTAGAGTGCATAATACACAGTTAAATATATGCTCAAATGTATTAATCAGTCTGAAATAAGGAGACATGGGTAAGTTAACTAATGTTTAAAAAGTATTAAAGCATGTTTACTTTCTTTTACTTAAAAAATATCTGTTTTTGGTGTAAGATTAAAAAAAAGTTTTTTTAAGATGTCTCATGTTTAAAAGTAGTTAGTTTACTAGTTTAACCTCTACCTTCCAGTCGATGTTTCCATTGAAGAGTTCACTCTTGGCGATGTCCACTCTGTTCCAGGTTACAGAGAGTCTCAGCTCATCAGCATAAGAGTTAGTACTCTCTGAGGCATGCCGTTTACTCGCTAAAACACACACACACAACAAAAATGTGAGACATAAAACCAATTGAAGAATAAACAAAACTGATCACAGTCATAAATTTAGACATTTTCAAATAGTTAGCTATAACTATTACTTGGTAGATTAATTAGACATTCCAGTAATGACTGATTACAATTAATTAGTAATTAGATAACATCTTTATATTACATATACACACAAACACACACACATATATATTATATATACACACACACATATATATACATACATACATACATACACACACACACACACACACACACACACACACACACACACACACACACACACACACACACACACACACACACACACACACACACACACACACACACACACACACACACACACACACACACACACACACACACACACACACACACACACATATATATATACACATTTACATACATTCACATATACACACACACACACATTACGTTTACCTTGAACAAGCACTTTAAGCATCACAATGTCAAAATCTTCTGCTCCTTCTTGTTCTGCATTATAAATGGAGATGATGTCTTTGTTTTGGTAGATGCTTAAAACCTTTTAATAAGCAGAAAAATCATTAAAAGTTATAAAAAGAAATGTTAATACTTGAATATTAAATGGTTGAGTAAAGTGTGCAACATGTACCTTATCAACAAGTTTGTCAGTATCATTCTCTGCAGGAAAATACTTCTTGACTTTTGCCGCCAGTTGTTCTCGGAGCTCCATGATGGGGCTGGCGTCCTCCTCCTCTGATGCTCCAGGCATCGCCGCAGACTGAACATTCTCCACAATGTCGCTCACTAGATTGGCAAGACCACCCGAACCAGCCAGAACCAAACACGGTGTTGAATTCTTCAGAGACATCTCTAAAAACTGAGGTGAAGAAACATCTCAAGTCAGAGTGAAGAAAGACAGAGATTCTGCAGGTTCAATCAAGTCAAAAGAGATACATATACATATTATATACACAGATAAAGTCAGAATTATTAGCCCTCCTGTTTATTTTTTCCCCGATTTCTGTTTAACAGAGAGAATATTTTTTTCAGCACATTTCTAAACAAAACAGTTTTAATTTCTAATAACTGATTTATTTTATCTTTGCCATGATGACAGTAAATAATATTTGACTAGATATTTTTCAAGACACTTCTATACAGCTTAAAGTGACATTTAAAGGCTTAACTTGGTTAATTAGGTTAACTAGTTATTTTATAACGATGGTTTGTTCCGTATACTATCAAAAAATGTATAGCTAAAAGGGGCTAATAGTTTGGACTTTTATTTTTTTTTATTAAAAACTGCTTTTATTCTAGCTGAAACAAAACAAATAAGACTTTCTCCAGAAGAAAAAATATTATCAGACATACTATAAAAATTTCCTTGTTCTGTTAAACATAATCATACATGTATATACACACACGCAAACGCCAGCGCACGCACGCACGCACGCATGCACACTTTTACAGTAGACCCTGTTAAGATCTATAAATAAAGAACTACAAAACCACAGAATCAAATAAAATCAAAACAGAAATCTTAAAACACTGAGGTTACAGGAAAAAATGATTTAAGATCTATAAAATAAATCCCAACTAACCAAACTGATTTTGTTGTCTCACATTGCTTGTTTTGAGGTAAATAACTCATCTGTGCATGTCGATAAGAATAAAACAAGTTTGCTTTTGTAATCTAAAATTGAAATCTGAAAATGGACGTCCTCTTTGTTCTTGGTTCAAATCTCAGGTTTAATCTGGTATCAGGCATGGCTATAGCACACCCCTCTACCTGTCAGTTTGACAACAAACAGAAATGGTGAGGAGTCCTGGGGTCCGTTCTTCGTACGTGGATTACTCAGTTAGCTGGATTTGGATATTGACGATTTGACACGATCCAGGATCGTTTCGTTCTTCAAAGCTGATCCGAGAGTTGTTGTCATAGCAACAGTTCTGCTAGCTTAAACCTAATCGGGAGCAGGTTCAGTTTATATAAACAGGATTAGATTGGGTCAGTTCAAGCAAAGATAATAGAGAAGGTATGTACCGAATTCTGATATTTTCTTACAATAGTAGTTATATACACTTGGGAAAAGAGTAAATATTTTTAAACTATATATAAAGTTATAGTTATTAATAAAATAAATAAAGTTATATATATATTAATAAAACTTATGCAATCTGCACTCTCGAAATGAAAATAAAAAGACTGCCACCTGGTGGTGCACAGAGAAAACTTATTGATATGAACTTTTTAGATCGCTTTTGTACAAATTGTGTATAATAGAAATGCACAATATGCGACTTTTTTTTTTAAGCAGACGCCTTTACCAATATCAAAATGCTTTTGTAAACAACCAGTTATTCTTTATACAGATTAAAAAAACGGCGACTATAATAAAGAAAATCTTTTCTAAATGAAGAACTAAATACATTGAGATGCATTGAAATACATGATGAATACTCTTGACACATGAAAGTGTAAAGCCTGCAGCTCACAACAAATGTGGAAGGTTATGCGTGTCATATTTAACAAACCGTTTACTGCTAATTTGATGTAATTTTGCTCACATGGATTATTGAATATTAACCAGATGATGTCATTACGCTGCTGTGCCGTCAGCCAATCGTTGCATTGCTGATCATGATTTCGAGGATTGATAGATCTGTCCTTCACAACACACGCGGCGATCTCAGATCAGTTTATCCAGACATTCTAATCTGATTCGCGAACTTGTTTGAAGAACCAAATAAGCGAGAGATCAGTTATCGAGATGAAAAGATCCAAGATCTGCCAAATCATCTTAGATCAATTAAGCGAGGTACGAAGAACGGACCCCTGCATCCAATCAGCTCACGGCAGAAAAAAAAAACAAGCCATGCCCACTGTTTTCCCATTTAATATTCTGTTTCTCTAGGAACTGAGTCAAAACAGAAACAATAAATAAATAAATAAATAAAATGGTCAGAGCTTCCAGACTTTTTAAAGCCTAAAATTCTGAACTTTTAGCCATTTATTTTGACTTTATAAAGAGCCCTTTGAAACCCTGTAATGAGGATGTTATGCTTAATGAAGCTGTAAACTTCTCACCTCCAGCATGGACGTGTCTCCAGCTATCAGCATATTCAGAACAGGAATGTCAATGCTTGCACCACCTGCATATGAGAAGATGTATTTGAGCAATCACATATAAGTCATTATAGTCCCTGTTTGCATATTGCATTCAAGGGATAGTTCACTCAAATTAAAACCATCACATTTCCTCCATTTGTTCCAAAACTGTTGCACGCAAAGCAAGACATACTGAAGAATTGGGGGAAGAAACAGCCATTTACTACCAATGTTTTCCATACTTTTTTCCAACAATCTTCAGAAGATTTTCTTTAGTGTGCAACAGAAAAAAAAAACTTAAAGATTTTGATTCACTGGAGTATGAGGACATACACTGCAAAAAAAATAAATAAACTTCTTACTTAGATTTTTTGTCTTGTTTCTAGTCCAAATATCTACAAATTCTCAAATCAAGAAGACTTTTCTAGACAAGCAAAACATACTGTCTTGTTTTAGAAAATAATATGGCAAAATTTAAGAGAGTTTTTTTCTTAAACACAGCAAAATAATCTGCCAAAGGGGTAAGCAAAATAATCTTATGTCAAAAGGAAAAACAAGATTAATTTGTTTATCTCATTGGCAGATTACTTTCCTTGTTCCAAGAAAAAACTCGCTTAATTTTGACATATTATTTCTTAAAACAAGACTATATGTTTTGCTTGCCTAGAAAATGCTTCTTGATAAGGATTTTTAGATATTTGGCCTAGAAAGAAGACAACAAAGAAGGTGACTGAAACCGAACCTTTCTGAAAATTCTAGCCAGCGTGAAGATTTTCTGAAGCTACAGTACAGTCATGTGGATGCTACTACTGGAGTTTTCTCCTGTCTGATTGGCCAACATGGCTGGGTTGACACCAAGCGGTATTTTTACATTACCGTGAGGGGTAGGTGTTAATAAAACACAATTTAATGGGTTGTTTAATTGGTTACACGCATCACAGTGTATTTTTTACATTTACATGTGAACAAAGATTTTATTTTAACCTAAAGTTGAGGAAAAAAAATTTATGAAACATATTCATGTACAGGCCCGGAATGGCTAATTGGGAGAACCAGTAGAATTCCTGGTGGGCCGATCCGTTTTTTTGGCCGCGAGGGCCGGCGTCCCTAGCTGCTTGCACTCTCAGCAGTTTCATTTATTTGTTTATTTGACCATAACCTCACTCTTTTTATTCATTATTTTGCCACAGCTCCGCTCTTTTTATTTATTTTTCTCGCAGCCCCGTGAGCAAAATGCAGCCCGCAGGTTGATGATGTAACTATAATTCCACCCAAAACAGCGACCTTAGTGAATATTAATTAATATTAATGAATATTACACCTGCTCAATGAAAATCAGATCATTAACTACATTAATAAATCTAACATAACTTGATCAGAAATCTAAAAAGGGGAGAAAAAGAGTAGGTTAAAAAAAAAAAGTAGACATTGATAGCAGCAGATAACAATACTGCAATACTACAATACTTAATATCGACATCGTAGTCTAGTGGTCAGCACGTTGCATTACGACGCCGCCGATCCGAGTACGAACTTCACCAGAGTTTAACATATTTTTCATTTTCAGTGTTAAGACATATAACACTGTTTGGGTAACTTATGTAGGGGTACATCCCTGCTGAAAAATCCAGCTTAAGCCAGCCTAGGCTGGTTGGCTGGTTTTAGCTGGTCGACCAGGCTGGTTTTAGAGGGGTTTTGGCCATTTCCAGGCTGGTTTCCAGCCAATTCCAGCCTGGTCTTAGCTGGTCAGGCTGGAAAATGACCAACTAAATCCAGCTAAAACCAGCTTGACAAGCCTGGTTTAAGCTGGACATCGCTGGTTTTGGCTGGGCTCCTAGACTGGCTAGGCTGGTCAAGCTGGTTTTAGCTGGTCATCTCCCAGCCTGGAAATGGCCAAAACCCCTCTAAAACCAGCCTGGTCGACTAGCTAAAACCAGCCAACCAGCCTAGGCTGGTTTAAGCTGTTTTTTTCAGTAGGGGTATTTTAATTTTTGTGTGTGTGACGACCATTACAATAGACTAGATATCAATAAAAAATTCATGTTCTCATATTTATGAAAAACATTTGAAGTTCTAAAGCAGCTGTGTCCTTTAAAAAGACGTTTTAGTGTCATTAGAAACTGATTTGGAAATAACGTTATTTTAATATAGTCAGTCGTCGACTGAGGTGGGCCGGTATAAGGCTTGAAACTCCCGAGCTAAAAAGGAGCCCCACTAGGCCCTGTCCATGTACATGTGGACATGTCCTTAATATTTGACTGAACTATCCCTTTAGAAATAAGATGCAAATTCCATCAATCCACTCACAAAAAGGAGGATGCTGAATATAAACAGAGTCTAATAGGTATTGTGCGTGTCAGCTTTCAAGCAATTCCAGAGGCTTTTCTGTTTGCTTTTTGACAAAGAGCTCTGCTCTGATTGGTCAGAGTCCATTTGGTGATAGCCATGATATATTTAAGTAATGTCAGCACCCGTAAAGACTCTTTACCCTTTGTGTATTACTCCACCTACATACAGATAGCAAAAGCAGACACTACAGGTCTAGTTTAAAAGATGCTTGCTCAGCTGTTTAACTGTCAGCTTATGATTTGAATCCAAGGCGGAAGAAAGTAGTTCCTCATACAAAAGGGTTTTTGAGACTCTCCATGTTTGATTTTGTTTTTATATACACAATTATGCCCTCAAACTGTTGTATAAACGCAATATCACACTCGTAGCAGTGCGATATGGCTGTATATGGGCACTGGTGGGGGCACTAATATGGTCCAGGATACGGTTCAGTCTGTTTTTTCAGGTTTATGCTGTACCTGGGCGCTGGTGTGAAATGTAATCCTCCAGACGGGCTCTGAACGCCAGCTCTCCACCTTTATGGCGAGTAGTCCCGTCGTCCACCAGTAGAAAAGCCTTATGGTTGTTATCCAGATAGCAGTATTCAGGCGATATGTTCCTGACCATATACCTTGCAGGAAAGCTTCCCTATGATAAACAGAGGTCAATTGGGGTGTGATAATGAGTTTAATCGCCATATTTGTCCCGTTGACTGATTATTACATAAGGAATTGAGAACATTTTTATATTAGGAGTTTTTTTTTATTAGGCAACAATATATACACAATAAATCACATATATAGTGGAATAAAAGGATATATATTGTAAGCAGGCATATTACATACACTACCTGACAAAAGTCTTGTCCCCTATATTCAAGTTTTAAGAACAACAAATAATAACTTATTAAATATGAAAGGCAAAGGGCTCTAAATTACGCTTATTTGACCAAAATAAAATATGATCATGCCTTAATTTTTAATTATTTAATTACGACAATAAGGTCTGACTTTGCTTAGACAAAAGTCTTGTCACTGAACAGAAATAATGTCCAGTATAGAATATAAAGTCATGCTGCAGTGGAAACAGAATGAATATCGTGTCTGACTCGCATCAGCTTGGAGGACTGCACTCATACAGTACATCTCTGCAATGACTCAAATCACCGATCAATAAAGTCATATGGAATGGCATAGAAAGCATCCTTGCAGGACAACCAGAGTAAATCAAGATTCTTTAAATTCATCTTCAATGCCTCCATCTTACCCCAGACATACTTATTAATGTTCATATCTGGTGAATGGGCTGGCCAATCCTGGAGCATCCTGACCTTCTTTGCTTTCTGGAACTTTGTTGAGGCTGAGGTATGACGAGTGCTATCCCATTGCAGAATTCGCCCTCTCCTATGGTTTGTAATGTAATGGGCAGCACAAATATCTTGATACCTCAGGCTGTTGATGTTGCAGATCTCTGGCATGCCCCCATACTGAATGTAACCCCGAACCATGATTTTTCCTTCACCAAACTTGACTGATTTCTGTGAGAATCTTGGCTCTTGGCAGTTCAGCAGATGATTCATGGGAAAATCTACCTCCTGACACATTTTTTTAAATGATAAACTAGAAGTTATTATTTGTTGCTCTTACAAGTGGATAGTTAGTTAGTGTACAGTACACCTTTGAAAAAACCTTGAGGATATATTTATAAAGGAATATAAATAAAAATATGTGCTTGATTTGTATTTTTTATTAAACATTTATTGCTGCTTTTCACATTCTTTTTATCAATTTATTTTCATGTTATTGTTTAATAATTATTATTATAATTTGAGAAAACAGGCTTTAAAAATGATAAAAGTGCAATAAAACAAACAATTTGGGTGTTTTCCTTTCATTAGACTGCAAAATCATTGTGTGTATGAATATTACAGGAAGAAAAGATCAAACTGTTAAAAAGGTCGAAACACATTTATACGTAAACTTGTTTAAACTTTACAACCCAAAATGCAATTTAGAAGAAATGAAATAAAAATATTTTAATTTGAGTTTTTACAGTGTGATAAATGATTAGAAATCAGTGTTTTTATCAGTGTTACCTCGGAGTTGACGAGTTGCTGTCTGTTCCCCAAAAGGCCCCAGGGAGCGATGCCTATAGGAAGCACTTTATTGAGTGTGATGGAGGAAACAGCAGTGGCGTTATCTTTCACAGCCTCTCCTATACACCGGCTGATACCCTGCCTCAGTCCTCCAGTGATGATCCATGCTCCTGAACAGACAGACAGACAGACAGACAGACAGACAGACAGACAGACAGACACAGACACACACACACACACACACACACACACACACACACACACACACACACACACACACACACACACACACACACACACACACACACATGACATATGATGGCAATGAAAGGCAGCTGTCATGGTGAGATAGACAAAGATTTGCTTAACAAAATAGGCAGGCTTTGAAAACTAACTGAAATGGTTGAAAGAAAGAAAAGGAGGAATCCATTCACAGCCATCCATTCAGAAGCATCATTGTGTGAACATGACTGTAGCGCAGTCACTTACAGATGTGATCTGGTGGAAATGCTTTACGTTCTTGGAAATTATTCAATGGTAATGATGTTTACATTTAATTTATGATAAAGGCTTTAATGGAATTATTTTAAAAATAATTATACAAGTTTTCAATAATGATCAGAGACTAAACCATGTGGGAAGTGAGGAGACTCATGTCTGTCCTCGTTTCAGATTGAAATGTCTGAATTGCGTAACCTCAAGGTGAAAGATGATCCTTTCATGGGAGAGATAAGACCAGTATGACCAGTTGCACAAGGAGTCTCTCAATTACACAGATCATCCAGAAAACAGAGATTCATGCTCCAGAAAGACAGATATTCAGTGTTAGAGGTAATGGATAACAGGTAACACAAGTTTCTGTATGTAATAATATAAGTTTTTTATGTAACAAATAAGTATTAATATTTAAGTACTAAAAATGTAATGCTTGTTATTTTTGTTTTAATTTATTAGCTTTCAAAAAAATTAATTACTGAATTAAAATTAACAGTCACGATGAACACACCAACCGGACAGCAGCCAACCGAACAACAGCGTGCGTTTTCCTCCTGCTTAAAAGAGCATGTCTTTCCACGCGCGCGGGGCGCAGTAATCTGCTTTCTCATTCCACAAAGGAAAAACAGATTTTCCAACTACAAGCAAAGTGTACACAAAGCACCGTCACTCACCAAGGAGAGTTTCGCTCATGCAAATGGGTCTCATAATTAGGACTACACAGAATCTGCCGATATTTTTTGCTATATCTGCACAGAATTTTGTGAAGAAAAAATAATCAGAGAATTTATTAAGAATAAAAAATAATACATTTTTAAATTTTACTGAATGTTTACAGGGGACGAAGCAGTGGCGCAGTAGGTAGTGCTGTCGCCTCACAGCAAGAAGGTCGCTGGGTCGAGCCTCTGCTCAGTTGGCGTTTCTGTGTGGAGTTTGCATGTTCTCCCTGCATTCGCATGGGTTTCCTCCGGGTGCTCCGGTTTCCCCCACAGTCCAAAGACATGCGGTACAGGTGAATTGGGTAGGTTAAATTGTCCGTAGTGTATGAGTGTGTGTGTGAATGTGTGTGTGGATGTTTCCCAACGATAGGTTGCAGCTGGAAGGGCATCGGCTGCATAAAAACTTGCTGGATAAGTTGGCGGTTCATTCCGCTGTGGTGACCTCGGATTAATAAACGGACTAAGCCGACAAGAAAATGAATGAATGAATATTTACAATGCAAATCCAATTAGATCCACTTATTTGGCAAACAAAGCAAGTCTCTCGTATAATACATCTACTAAAAGACAGGAAATATGACTTTACAAACTGTATTATGTAAATATTACTGAAATTAAAAAAACTGAATAAATATAAATTTACACAATAAATAAATAGACTCAATGATGGGCTAAAAATCTGCACATTTCTGCACGCACAGATTCCGTGTGGGCCTATTGATATAGCAGTAATCCATGCTGTTTGCAAATATTTGAGAAATGCAGCACAATTGCCACCATCTTTGCTCATCACTAATCACTTGCTTATATCAGTGAGGTTTTTGTAAGCATAGCTTAATAACTAATCAGAGTGCACTCTTATGCCGATACCAAATTTTCATGGTGAATTAGGCCAAATTGCTGGGGCGACATGTTGAGCATACCAAACCAACTAGCCGGACAGACGCTCATCAACGACCCAGTGCAGCCTGACAATTGGATCGTCCATCGACTTGCTCTGTTTAACCTTAAAACATGAATGCTAGAGAGAAGGGACAGATATACCTGTACTCTGTGCCGCTTTGACCAGCCCCTGTCTCAGTATGTCCCGCACCCAGCTCTTGACCTCTGACCTCCCCTCACCGCCCACCACTGACAGCACCAGGCTGGGCTGCGGCAGCTTCCAGTGCTCCTTCATCAGGTCAAACACCCTGGCAGGATCTGTGGTGTTGGAGAGACGCAGGAACTGCCAACCAGAGAACAAAAATCACGTCACATGACAAAATACAGCCATTTCCCCAACTATGAGCAATTCTTAAATCCTAAGGGACGATTTTTATTAAAGCATTCTCAAAAAAAAAAAAGACAAAACTATGTTTAATATGGTTAATGATTCTGGTACTTTTTAAGTTTTTTTATAAAGCGGGTTTATAAAGCATTTTATAAAACATTAAGTAAATGTTAAGGTATGCTTATAATCAACTTGTGAAGTATGTTGACAACTATGACATTTTGCTCCATGTGCAACGTCTTGCCTTTAAATACTTTATGTAAAAAACACCCAAAGTTATGTCACAAACCCAAAGTTTCTAAGAATGTATACTTATTTTTAAGGTTTTATTCAGTAATAAGTATTATAAAGTAATAAGTATTTCATTAATCATAACAAGAAATTGGGTAAAAATGACCTGAAAATGACACTGAAAATGTGAATATTCCTTCAGTTATATGGACAACTTTCACATTAAAATGTTTATTAAAAGTTTGATAGTTGAAGTTCTAAAAATAATAATTATTTAATAATTTTATGGTTTAACTTATACTTTACATATTCCAAACAAACAAAAACAAAAAACAAATCATTTAAAAAATTTAAAAAGTGAAGTTAAAATATAAATGAAGCATAAATAAATAAAAAAGAATTATGTAATCTTAAATTTTGCATTATGAACACCAAATTTAATTTAGCTGTTTTCATTTTTTTATCTAACAGTTCCATTGTTTACCCATTGCCCAACATTCAAACATTCTATTTTAACATATGATTCAATATATTGTAAATAAATTCAATAAATCGTAAATAAAAATTTAATAAAACATTTTAAAACAAAATGTTTCCTGCATTGATGTGAACTCACGTAGCTGTGTCTCTTCCCAGCGCCGGCGAACTCCAGATCTCCGTAAGCGTCAGTGGGCTGTTCAGAGGTGTGCTGAGTGCTGAGCCACTGACTGACCACTGCTGTGCTGAAGTTATCGCCCAGAGCCACTGACGGGTGATTGTCTCGCGCTGCCCCGCACTGACACCGACCTCCATTACTACAAAACCACACACTGACTGACGATCTTATTTTTCTCTTCTGAATTTTTGCAGCTTTTGTTTGTTATTATTGTTCACTTGTCATCAGTAAATGCTCTTATTACTTACATTAGTCTGATATTCTCCTGTTTAATCAAAACTTGTATAACAACCGACAACATTTTACTGTTACATACATTTTTAATACAATAGCAACCATATTTCAATAAAAATATGAGCTACTTGATATACATCAATGCAGTTACGCAAACGCTCATTACATGTAAATACCAACGCAACCTCAAGGCAAATCGTACCTTTTTGATTTAGTGGCTAATTCGTATGAAGTCGTACGATCTAATTCGTGTAATTTTGTACAGGGGTGGCCAACCCTGTTGCTGGAGATCTACCTTCCTGCAGATTTCAGCTGCAACTGATATCAAACACACCTGCCTGTAATTCAGGTCCTAATTAATTGGTTCAGGTGTGTTTGATATGGGTAGCAACTGAAATGTGCAGGAAGGTGGCTCTTCAGGAACAGGGTTGGCCACTAGGGGTGTCAAAATTAATTGTTTCTTCGGTGCACCGCGATACAGACGCGGACAATTCGGTATCGATTCAGTAATAACCATAACCGGTTATTATGTAGTGACGTCATTTATCTCCTATGCTCTCTTTCGCGAGGGAGGTGAGCGCTGTTATTTACAACACTCAGCCAACTTAGGGCCGGCCCGTGGCATAGGCACCATAGGCAAATGCTTAGGGCGCTGTATATCCAGTGAGGCGCCAGAAATGAGCGCGCTTCAGTTGGTTTTGTTTTCGATTTTCCTGACACACTTTCAGTTACAGACGGCAATAACTCAAAAAACGCTTGCCCTAAAAAGATCTAAAGTGTGTTTCCTATAGAATGACAAAGCTGGTTATGTTTCACAGCTGTCTTTCTTTTTTTTCGCTCGACATTACGAGCACTGCTCCGTTTAAGCCCTCGCAGTCTGCGTTTACTTTAGCCGGCAGAGCTCGCGCTGAGAGGAGCTCTCTGTAAGGGACCATCGGAAAAGTGCTTATTTTTTTCATTTTTCTGCTCCGCTCAGCGCGAGCTCTCCCTGTTGCAAGGGCTTAAGTGTGTTTGTTTGTGTGTGTGCGTGTGTGTGTTTGTTTGTTTGATGCTGTTTATGTTTGTGAATGTGTTTGAATGAGAGACAGTGTGTTGCTGTGTGTCTGTGTGTTTATAGACAGCATGTTATAGCCTCCCCCCTAAAATATAGCACTATATATGGAAAGCATCGTCAATGCACCGTGATGCACCGAGATATCGAATTGAACCGAATCGATGGCATGATAATCGTAACCGAACCGAACCGTGAGACCAATATAGGTTCACACCTCTATTGGCCACCCCTGATTTAGTATGATTTGCTCATCACCCAATGACTGTTGGGTTAAGGGGCGGGGTTGGGTGCAGGGGCCGGGTTGGGTGCCACTTCCCTTTTTAAAACTGTACATTTTCGTATGACTAAACTCATACGAATTAGCCACTAAACTGACAAAACAAATACTTCCATTTTCTTGTGAGATCAGGCTTGTAAATACCCAATTACGTATATACTTATCTCCCACTCATAATCATAAACATATTAAACAAAATGAGGATTATTCTCATGATCAAAAAGCAGTCCTAAACAAGAAATACTGACAATCTTACCTTAAGGAGTCCTCCACAAATGTTGTGCACACTCTCTTCTTAAAGAAACTTGGAATCCAGCTCTAAAATCAACACAATTTACTATTAATTCACTATTAAACATGATACCAAGTGTAACACCGAGCAGCATAATAAAGTTAACATTAAGGAGTGCAATTTTAGCTAATGGCTTTTGCAAATAATGACTGCCATTCTTGCTCTGTTCACAAAACTAAAACAAAGAGCTTTAATCCTTCTCATGTAATTTATCATTTGCTCCTTTGTGTACACCCTATACACCAGGAAAGCAAGCCAGACCAGTTTAGCCTTCAGAATCACTTCATTCATCATTTATTCAGGGTGGGTTTTGTGTTAGTTTCATTGTTACAGTGTTTGGTCACAAACGTATGCGGTAAAAGTGGGGCAACAAAGATAGTGGGGCCATTCTTCATCAATGGAAACCTCAAGGCCACTGGATATTTGAAGTTGCTACATGATGATGGGTTTCCCTCTTTATGCACAGAAGCTGGTACATCCCTTGAGTTTTTCCAGCAAGATGGTGCACCACCACATTATGGGTGTCAGGTCCGAGCATTCCTAGATGAACAGTTTCCTAAAAAGGTAATTGGTCGCCTTGAGCCAGTTGAATGGCCCCCAAGGTCTCCCGATCCGACACCCTTAGACTTTTATCTTCGGGGTCATCTGAAGGTAATAGGGTATATGCCGAGCTAGTGCTGTTCCCATGCTGATACACTTCCGGTGACCTGTTATTGTGAACTTTTTTCCATTTTATACGGTTCCTTATACAGCATCGATGTTGTAATGTCATTACAATACATTCAGTTAAATAAACTTTAGCATTTATTTGGTTGCTCAAACGTAAAACGAGACAAAAAGCGGTTTACTCGCACGCGCCCGTCAGAATCGGCAGGCTAACGCAGAAGCTCCATTGATAACATTGGGGTAAAATAAATGCTCATATTATAAAGATATGGCGGGGGAAATGTAATTTAATGCAGTGCTTCTTGTACAATCTGAGACCCACTTTAAATCGGATATCACTCAGCTAGTGGAGATCGCTGATTTTAAAGAAAACAGACCTTAAACGCACCGGATTTTGCATTGGCATTCAATTCGCCGGAAGCGCTTAACCCAGGTTACTGGCAAATTAAAAGTCCTATTAGCATGCTTCAGCATATACCCCACTGTCTGTGGTGTGAAGATACAAGATGTGCAGCACCTGAAACTACGGATACTAGAATCCTGTGCTGGCATTTCTCCTGCGGTGTTGCTATCAGTGTGTGAAGAGTGGGAGAAGAGGGTTGCATTGACAATCCAACACAACGGGCAGCACATTCAACACATTTTGGTCAGAAACTTGTAAATAACTCATGACAGAATAAAGTTACGGTAAAACCAAGCACATCGTGTTTTTTCTTGTAAAATTCCCAATAAGTTTAATGTGTTAAATGACCCTCTTCCTATTGAAAAAACAAAAGTTGGATCCAAGATGGCCGACTTCAAAATGTCCCCCAGGTAAAAAAAAGAAAAAAAAAAGAGAGTGCACTAAAATGCACTTTATTTAAGTATACTTAGTACACTTTTCAGTACTGTACTAAAAGTGCTCTTTTTCCGCACACTAATTTTGTGCTTAATAAACTAAAAGGTAGCATTAAGTATATTTTAAGATAAACTTAATACCATCTAAGTGTACTCAACTGTGCTATTTTGAGACACCATGAAATTGAAGTAAAATGTGCTTTTAACATACTATATCTGTACTTTAAATATATATATATATATATATATATATATATA